GAGCCACAGTCACTGTGCAAATACTCCATACGGTGTCTGTAGATTCGCCCACAGCATTTCACACCATCTCCCTGAGTTTAATCAAAGTAATATACCTGTGCTTATAGGTGTGTGTAAATCAGTGCATTTTTTTGACAGAAGGGTGTTGTCTGAGAGACATGCAGTAGGCTTGCTGTGTGGGAGCTCTTGACTGCAGTTTTCCCCCTGAGCCCATGGCCTCTGTGGGCTACTCTGGACTGCCCCTTTTTCTTATGCCCTTTCCTTTCACCTGTCTGGTGTGGCCTCTCCCATCTGATGCTACTCATGGCTGACCAGAGCAGTCTTCGTCCTAACCTTGAGTTGTCAGAAGTCTCACCCATAATTTCTTAATTTCTTTTTTCTTTTATTTTTTTCCACTTCAGATTTAAGCATACAGTGTTATCTTAGACAGCTTAGTGCTCCAAGCACAAACCTGGGCCAGTGCCTGAGTCCAAGCTCTGGTGCTGGTAGTTCCATCTATAACATGGCATCAACCAACCATGCAGCATTACTGCCTGGTCGTTTCCCTGAAATGCGTATTGTATCCATTTTTATAGTTTCTTTTATACTTTCAACAGACTTTATAACAGCGATAATGTCATTCAGATAATTATACCATAATTGACCTTAGCATTGAGCATCCTTGGCTTTTACTGCAGTTTGCTTAATACTTCAGTATGGTCAATTATCTTGTAATTCCCACTTTGTTGGGAATTATTGTTTTAATTATTCCACTCCAAATACATCATTTTGGCATTGTAGTAAGGGTACACTGGGGAATGGTCATATTCATGAATGCTTTAAAGAGTTACCAGCTTTATCACGTGGGAAGACTTTTCATCCTGTCATCCCTAGTCATTACTTTTAACACTGATTTCATTTAATTATCTCTTAGTCTGCTCAGGCAAGATCTTCATCTGGAGGAGCCAGCATATGGGGAGTTGGGGCTTGGGGCTTGCAGGATTTAAGAGCAGTTGGACGGCTGTGCAATCTGACCACACTTATTTATGCCACATTACTGTGTGAGCCATCTATGTTTATGAAACGTTTACCCTCGGTGGAAGCTGCGGTTAAAGTGGTGAAATTTATTTTTCTTTTCCTAGCAATTTGAGCTATTAACTATCCCAAATAGATACTGAGCATGCTGGTGAGAATTTTATGGCTGCATAAGAGGATGATATGGCCCTCTTGATACTCATTTAATTTTCAACTGTGTGGCACTGGTACTGCACCAGGAGCAGCACCCTGCCAACGCTGAAGAGAAAGCAGAGTGGTCCTTATGGCAGGAGATCATTTCAGTGAGCACCATGCTCAGCGCTGCCCAAAACACAGACTGAAGCATATCATGCCATGCTTTATAGCCCAGTGCAAAAGCTGCTGTGGGTCCAGCACTAGAAACACACTGTTTCACTTCTTAAGCAAATTGTGTGAACACAGCAACATGCTCAGCCTTGCTATAAATGCATATGTTCAGTTGGGTTTTGTCAGCATTCTGTGGTGTATTTAACATGAATAAAAATGTTCTACCTAAGCAGAATATGAGAAACCAGTATGTTTTTCTCAAACACAAACTAAATGTAACCTACTTTCTCCAAAGAGTATTTTTCCTGTGTCTGATCTAATTATTACATGTGAGCAAACTCAGCATTGCTTAGTAGGAAAATGCAGCTCTTCTAGTAGATTAACACTTTTAATGAAGAAAACAGCAGTGTGAAAAGACTTTATTTCTCTATAAATTTTAATAGTTACTAAAACAAGGACTCCGGCCCATTAAGTTACAGCCTGCCAAGTCATAGTGCTGAATCACTTAATTTCTCTAAGTAGCTATCCTATTCCAGCTTCTTAAAGCCAGCTGTTAGGAGAGCAGTGATGTTTTAATCAAGGAACAGGGTAGAGTCTGTCAGCTAAACAGTGTGCTTTGATGGAGGTTTTTCCTTCACGGACTGTGAATGTAAGAATCTCTCTTGGGGTATGTGGGCTTGCACACTCAAGAACAAAGGTGTGGGTAGGTACAGGATTATATGCAGAAATCTGGTGTCAGTGACAACTATGAGGACGTTATTACATCCCACCATTTCTCAAGGAAGATAGATCCTTACAAGTGTTTATAGACTGAAAAGCTGTTAGAAACAATAAAGAGAACTTGGTATGGGTAATAATATTGTCCTTCACACTGTGAAAATAGGAAGATCTAGACCATAGCTCATTGACTATGTATATAACATCTTTATATACTTAGCATAAGAGGTAAATTTAGATCTGTCAACACCAGTACCAGAGATCCAGTGAAGTCACTGATCTTTATGTGGCAAGTGCATTTTATCTTGAAGGGAAAAGAAGGTAGTGCTGCAGGGGTATTGATAGGCTGGCTCCATGCATGGGAAGGGATGTGACGGTTAAAAGTGGGAATGTTTAGATTTGTTCTGTAGTAATTGACTCTTGAGGCAAAATAATGTTAGTCCTAGTACACTGGCCTAATTTCAGTTTGGGAAATGAGATTCTGCCTGCTGTCAATAGATGAGTTATCTCCTTTTTTCTGCTAATGTTAGGTGAGATACTGCAGCAGAATCTTTTCATAATGGTATCAAGTCTGATCCATCTTTGAAGCAATAAAACCATTAAGCAGTGTGCATTGCCCCAGTGCCCAATGTGGTGCTCATCCTTTATGCGCTAGTGATAATTAGCTACTCTATCTTTCTAGTAGGGAGCTTTAATTTATTACTTTATTAAGCAGTGAAATCAAAGATTAAAATGGTATCTATAGCACATAGCTAACCAGATTGTGAAAAATGAAACTATGTGGTTTCAAATTTATGAAAATAAATATTTCTATTTAAATAAGTGCAGTAGTTTAATTCTTTAGACACCACTCTAATTTGTAGTTTACTGGTGATTATTTTTCTTCATTTTAAAGAAAATTGCTTTCTGTTGGGTGAAGTTGAGAAATAATGAATTGAATTCACATTACAAGCTACTGCCTCCCAAATTGTAAATGAATACAAATGTAATAGGAGCATACTATTAAAATCTTTTGCGAAAGGCTATGCTGTGTCATTGCAGTAAACAAATACATTTTTCAAGTCATCAGTTCATTTAATGTTGTGTTTCTACTTGGCCTTTATTTTAAGGGCTTCTGTGCCTACTGCTGCTGCTGTCTCCAAGTATCTTAACATGTGTTGCTGCTTCGGAGCAAAATATAACTTTGTTAGTGCATGTCTTGTACTATAATAGTTGATTAATGACCTTCTTTAAAGCTGAATTAGTATTTTAAGATGTATTTGCTCAGGATGCAAAATCCTTTTCTACCTATTTTATGCTGTCAGAGAGAGCGAGAGGCAGGCAGGAAAATGGGAAACGCACAGGCTGTGTTCGACACTACTTCTGTTCTAAATTTTTTTTTTTTCCACTCAGTGTTATTAGAGGATAATTAACAATTATAAATAAAAATATGGAATATTTTTGCAAGTTCCACCAGTCATTAATCTGAACTGCTGTTCATAAGAACTGGAAATTTTAGAAAAATGGAGAGGAAGACCTAAGTGTCTGAGCAGAGAGGAATGTACTCTCCTGTGACTTGGGCAGTACTCACAGCTTAATTTCTGTGGTTAGGTTGTTCTTAATCTTGACCGGAAGCTTGAGATATAATAAGGAAAATAGGAAATTTTGTAACAGTGATGAAACAGAAGTTGCTCAATGTAAATACTCGTTTCTTGGTTTGTGTTCCTATTAGTAGCTGTAAAAGAAACCTAGGGAGATGTGCACCGAAAACCCCACACCCAAATTGCTGTGTTGTACATTTTTATGTGGAACAACAGCTGTCCACCATGCACGGAGGAAGAACCCCCAAACCAGTGTTTCTGGATGAAGGGGAGGATCTAAAATCCGGCAGTAAGGACTTCTTTTGATGTTGTTCCTCCCCACCCCATTATATAAGGAGAACAGTGATGGAAACAGTCAGCAGGGTTTCAACTGACAATTATTTTCATCTTCATTGCTGTCATTTCCAATTCTGCAAAAGGCCTGAACGCATCCTTACTTATGTACGTTCAACCATTGACTTCAGTGTGAGATAAAGTTTAGTGCATGCTTAAATGCTTTCTTGAACTAGGGCCAAAAGCTGCTGCTGCTTCTGAAATCAATCCCAGAGGGAACTTTGCATCTTTTATTGCTTCCTTTTTTGTATACCAAGATACAGGCTCTACCAAGCTTTGGAAATATTGTAGGAGTTGATAAATGTTGCCTGCCTTGTTTAAACAAGTACAGTAGAATTGTTGGATGACAGTGCATAAAGTGAGTGTTATCTTTCTTTCTTTCCTGTCCTGTATGGGTGCTCTTTAGCAACCATTACTAGGTGAGAGCTGTGGAATGGCAAGAGATTCACTGAGCCGTTGTGGTTTGTTTCTGTCTGCTCCAGGCACAGCCTGTAATTATAAAAGGCATGAAAATAAAATGAGTTTAGGTGTTTTCCCCTGTTCCTTCCTGCTTTAAGATTGTTCAGAAGCTTGCTTCTTTCTTTGGTAGAAATCTTCATTCAAATGTTTGCTGAAGTGTGACTTGCCTTGAGCCTCTTTGTTCTTCTTGATTTACACAGGCAAACACAGACACACGTACACACACACAGAGTCCTTTTCTGGGACTATTGATTTAACCCTGCGTATTTGTAGAGGAAACAAGCCAAAACAAGGCCGATGCACAGTATTCATCAAATGGCCCAAAGTAGCTCTATGTTCATCCCATTGACACTGCAGATAGCCAGTGTGATCTGTTCTCTGATCTCCTTTTTCTGTATCATGAGATACATTGTGCAATTTTTAATATAAGACATTTGCTGGGTAGCTATCACCACTTAAAACCCAAAGTGCTATCTGTGAGGACAACTTCAAATCGTATTATCACCTTAAGATATATTGAGGGGTAGTGAGAAATGAACCACTGTTTTGAATGATTGCCTGATGATGCTTTCTTCCCTTTTCTGTCTGCAGAGCTCTTCTGTATCTCCCTCAGCCAGTTTCAGAACAGCAGAAAAGCACAGAAATTCAACAGATTATTCTTCAGATAGTAAAAAACAGAAAACAGAAGAGAAGGAAATAGCAGCTCGTTATGTGAGTAAATTGTCTACATTGTGCATTGTTGAACTTAAGTGTTCCTCTGTAATTTCACCTGATTCCTACAGCGTAAGTAATTTAAAAATTGAGGGTCAGATTTTTAGCACGTTCTTGCTGCCTACTTTTGTTGTCTACGCTGGATTAAAGGTTTTGGTATGTATAATTGATAGTGTTTACAACAATATAAATACAGAGCACCTGGAAGTCATGTGACAATAGTGCTGAGCTTTAGTTAGGCTGGGTCTTGTTAGATCTGGGCTCTAGCTTGGCTCTGCTTCATAGTGCAGTGCAATTTTGGATGAGGATTTTCATCCTGTGTCCTTGTCCACCAGTCTGAAAACTGAGAATAATGCTATTGGTGTGGCAAGCTTCTAAGAAGAAGCCCTATATGTGGTCTGCGTATTCTGTTTGTATTAGCACATAAAGTTTGGCTAAAGTCAGTTTTTCCTTAGTGCTTAAGAGATGTTGGGATATTGAATGCATGTTTTTTAACACATTCTGATTTGTCATTTCAGGACAGTGATGGTGAAAAGAGCGATGACAACTTGGTAGTTGATGTTTCCAATGAGGTATACACAATGGTTGTTTTTCTACCTTACAGTGATGGTGGTGGGGGTGTCTCCAGTGTTTTCTGTGCATATTGGTTTTATGAATAAGGTTACAGCCTTTGTCTTCATAAAGGGGCTTGAAATGCCTGAGGGAACTCAGTCAGATCATATTTCTTTAGAATACAAATCAGATCTGTAACACTTATTTCTACAAAGGATTGTTTTGTTTTTTATATGAACAAAAAGTCTGCTAGAGATATTTGAAGCCAGCCCAGCACAACAGATAAGATACAGCTTGTAACTGTGCCTATCTCTTCTTTCAGTCTGGCCATGACTTCATTTGTGAACTTTATCAGGTCTGCCAAGTGCTTTAAACCTTTTCAATCTGTCACCTGAAAAAAGAGATTTACTAGCCTATTTCAATACCCATAGATTATGGGCATTATTTTTCATGGTTAATGGCATCAAATTTTAAGACTTCTTTAGAAAAAAAAGTTGTCTTTTATTATCCATCTTGATTTTGGAATTGTATCAATGAAATCTATTAAGAACAGAAGGAAGATGTCACTTCTTATGACAGATCTTCATTCTAAGTGAGGACTGCTCAAGACAATCCTAGTGGCTAGTATGAAGGTTTTATGCTAACCCATGTTGCTGATCTTTAGGATCCCTCCTCTCCCCGGGGGAGCCCAGCACACTCTCCAAGGGAAAATGGCTTGGACAAGACTCGACTGCTGAAAAAAGATGCACCAATTAGTCCAGCATCTATTGCATCCTCCAGCAGTACTCCTTCCTCCAAATCCAAAGAACTTAGCCTTGTAAGTGATTCAAAATACTCCTCACTCATGGTCATATGATAAAATACATGCTTACCAGATTTTTGTCTGAACACAATTTGTATTTCCCCAGTTATCAATAAAGCACTATGAAGCATCAATTTAATATTAGTTTAATTTATCTCTTCAAGGGAGTTTAATAAAATTATAAGGAGAAAGTCCATAGTCTTTTTGGGGGGATAAGAAGAGGTGAGTTTCATTGGTGGTATAGGTAGACAATAGATGTGCTGTTCTGAGAGATATTTTTCTCCTCCCCCATATGAAAAACTGTCATTCTGAGAGTAAATAAAAGTACACAGGGGTTCCTTGAGCTGTTTTTTCTGTGCTGTGGTTTATAGCAAATTCAGTTCCCTGCTTGGATGTGATTTGGTTGTTAGGTTTGTTGGAATTACCAGGCTATATACAGCAACAATAATTTTTATTTTCTATCTAAAAAGTAATCTGTCATTTACAAGAGCCTTTCTTGACTTGCATCGCAAATCATAATGCAAAAGAAAAGAGCTGCCTGCAAGGGGTGTTCTTTCCTTTCCTGTTTGTGACTACAGTTAATCACCTTCGAGAGCTGCACAGTAATTCCCGTCTCAGTTCTTCACAGGGCAGGGTACGTGATTATTTAAAGAAATCAAATAAATAAGAAGAAAGATTAAAGTGAATGTAGTGCTCAGGAAAGGTGATTGAATGACAGGTTCAGGCCTGGGAATCAGTGATTTGTCTGATGAACAAGCTTGTCACAAGAACATCACTGCACTCTTCTTGAATTCATACCCATCACTGTCTCCATGCTGTGTTTCTTGCACCACACTTGGGTATGAGTTGTTGGTCAGTTGGGCTTTTTTTTTTTTTCTGCTCTCCTTGTCCACCCTGCAGTGGCCTCTCACAGCAAATCACAGTCATAATGGGAGCGGGTCCATGAGCAGAGTGAGACCACTGACAGATTTCACATACACTGCCAGTTGTCAGATGGCAATGATTTTCAGTCATTTACCTAAATCTGAATCATACAGACACTCCTGATGAGGAAAGCTGTGAAGGCTGTAGTTAATTACCAAAGCCATTCCACCTTTTTCAGCTTCTCTGCAGCGTCTCTTCATAGCTAGGGACTGTTGAAACCCTAACCCAAAAGCTAAATGTCATTGATCACACTCTGTTTGTTGTTGTTGTGTCTTTCCAGCCACTAGCTAGAAAAGTAAAATAACTTGCAAACTGTCTTGCTTTTTTCTTTTTGGTGATTAGAATGAGAAATCTACCACTCCTGTGTCTAAATCAAATACCCCTACTCCACGGACTGATGCCCCAACTCCAGGTAGCAACTCCACTCCCGGACTGAGGCCAGTGCCCGGCAAACCCCCAGGTGTGGACCCGATAGGTTAGTGTCCATATATTTTGATGGTGTGAAACAGTGGGCATTTGTCCCTTGCCAGGCTCCATTTAGATGTTAGTATATTACAGATGCTTAAACTGGGTGCTGAGCTGCTTCTTCAGTACTGTAATACAGTGTGTATATTTTTTGTTGGAATTTTTGGTTGTGTTTTCTTTTTTTGCTGTTTGCCAAATTCATATTTATTCTGATGGGTCTGGGCTGCCTCCATGACGTTTCTCTTTTCAACCCACTTCTGTAGCTTCAGGTTTAAGGACACCTATGGCAGTACCGTGTCCTTATCCTACTCCGTTTGGTATCGTGCCACATGCTGGTATGAACGGGGAGCTGACCAGCCCTGGAGCTGCCTATGCCGGTCTACACAATATTTCCCCTCAAATGAGTGCAGCAGCTGCAGCGCTTATGGGCGATCTCCAGTGGTAAGTGTTTGCAGTTAGTGCATTTGGTTCTCAGAGCAGTTTATATTAAGTATAAGACCTGTGGGGTTAACTCTAGTTCACTCTCATTATAATTTGGGTAGTATGCTGTGGAGAACATGAATTAAACAGTCCTCCTTTGCCTGACTCCGTCTTTAATACAGTTTTTTGTTTTGCTTGGGGAAAACTATAGGTTGGTTTTGATCCACATCATCACATGCGAGTCCCAGGCATCCCTCCCAATCTCACGGGCATCCCAGGAGGAAAACCGTGAGTATCAAGCATTCAACTTTGAAAGTCCATCATCTGTTGGAAGTTGTGTTCCCTTGATGGTTGGAATTCCCCTTAGCTACTGAAAACTATTGTCTAAATATAAATAAATGCAGCTATTTTGCAGGAGCAGGAGAATCACTGTTTAATCTTAAAGTTGCATTTGTACATTAGTTTTGAAGGCTAATAGCAGTTGACAGGGTGATATAGAGTAAAGGAGACAGAAATAAATAGAGAAAGGAGTGGAACTTAAAATATGACAGGTTAATCTTATATGGAAATGCAAAGTGGAATAGGATCTTAGCTTTCCATTTCTACTGTACACTGCTTCTCAGTTTAAAAAAATATTTTTTTGTTCACAAAAGCCTTGCAATTACTTGGAAACTTAGCAGCTGCTAGATACAGAAGTGTGCAGAGAAAGAAACACTGAAATGCTTGATTGAAAATATTGGAAATAATTATTGTATCGTAATATTCAGATTCATCCTTGATGGAACTGACCATAAAAGGTGACCTGGTCTACCATGCTTAACATGTTATGAGCCTTGGAAGAAGAATTACACAGAGACAAAGAACTCTTAGCTCTCTTGAGAAGGAAGGCTAAAGCAGCTGTGCAAACCATAATGATCCAGATTTTATGTAAAGGTCATCCAGTTCTACTTCCTTGTGACACTTTTGGGAGACTGACCAGTTCATACTGGGGAAATTGAAGGTCAGGGGATGTTTGTGCCATTCCTTCTCTGGCTCTCTTATGTATGAACATGTTTGTGGAAATGTGGTTGGGGTTAGTCATACATGTGCATGTGTGTGAGTAAATGCACACACTTACCTGCCAATGAGCTTGCAGATATGAAGGATTAGGGGTTAATAACATATGGTGACAAGCAATCAGTCCTAGTGCCTGTAACTCGTCTTTCACCTGTATGTCACACAAATCATAAACCATGTCCTGCTCTCTCAGGCGTGACATACTAGTGACCACCTTATGTTGATTTTTCTGCTAGTTGCACCACTCTGTTAGGTGGCTGCATAAGGTGAGTGTGGAAATTGATATACAGGAGCTTGCAGACCAGCTCCTCACATTAAAAATTCTGTGGTGCAGAGATCTCCATCTGATTCATACAGCAGGCTCTTAGAAATATCTTGATGTAATGTTCTAATGTTCATTGCATTTAAGTTCATCTCTGATGGAGTCAGTCACTTGGAAAGGTGTCTGACTGAATCTCCTAGGGTTTGCTTGCTGTGGTCTGAGAAATGGCAATTTCAGGGATGCAGAGACCTCGCTGCTCACATCTCACTTGTGTTAGAATCAGGGAGAATAAAACATGAGGCAAACTGAAATCAAATCAGTTCAATTCCGGTACATCTCTATGTTTTTGAATGTTGTTGCTGTGTTGATGTCTATTTTAAACATTTAAATGTAACTGTCATTTGTCTGCCAGAGTTTCTTTAGCATGGTTGTATTGACTTTTCATCATCCTAAGTATGGTACTTCTCACAGCTGTGCTTGTTACTTTCTCATTTACTCCTCCTTTTCCCTTAGAGGGAAAGTCATGTAAATTCTCTGCACTGTTGAATGTCTTGAAATGGAGTAGGCAGCATGTAGCACATCAGGGATCTGGCCCGTAGTAACTCTTTTTACTTTGGCGATATATCAAAATATTGAGTATTGCACAATATATAAATAGAAAAAGTAGCTAATGTGAGAAAAGAAAAAGGTGCTCACCCGGTGGTTATAGTGTCAGATATTTGTAAGACATTTACAGTACTTCTCATAAGCAACATTAGGTGTTAGTTCTTAGAGGGGAAAAAAAGCAACCAGTCAATGGCCACAAAACCAAACCAAGCAACAAAGGGACAGTTTAATCACGTGTGCTGGGATGGGGCAATGAATACAGTGAGGATAATGTAAAGATCTAAGCTTTATTTCTATAATTTTAAAATATGTTCCTTGTGTACTTTGTCAGGATGCTAAAAATCACTTTGGTTAATAAAGGTAGCATACACTCAGTTCTCAACACGGCCCTGCAGAGCATGACTGTGTACAGAAATCAGAAAACCTGATAATGAAGTTCCACTTGTTTTGTTATGGATTTCAGGTGACTGCTTTTTTCAGTACCTTACTGCACAGACAGGAATTAGGAAGATAACGAAGAAGATATTTTAGATATCTGTGGTAGCAATCGGACCTTAATTCTTCTACTTTATAGGAAGTTCGACAACCACAGAAGTCTGTCCTGCTGTTTCCTGAACATGATTAATGTCAAAAAACAGAGAAAGGTGGCATGATCCATCACTCAGACCTGCCAGAACAAGAAAGGGAGCAGATTGAGAAAAGTGTGTAAAGCACTGAGAATAGGGCAGAAAGATGAGAATGCACTTGCATTTTGTCCCACTGAAAATGACTGTTCTAGTGTTAATGCACTATGATCTTAAATGACAAATTCAGTAGTTGAATTCTGATGCCTGTCTTCTTCAGTAACTTCGAAGCATCAATTAAGGAAGTGAACTTAAAAAATATTCTCATAAAATGATTTTTTGTGAGCTCTTCTTATTCCACCGTTGTGACAATGGATTTTTCATCAGTACTACGATGACTTTTTAGGTCTAAGAAAATTAGAGCATTCCATTAAGCATACCTTGGTATGTGTAGGTGAACCCTCTTACAAGTTTGTGCTCTTGTAATAGATGTGATGTGTCAGGTAGCATCTCAGAACAAGACAATTTCACAACCTAACTGTTCTCTGTGGAAAATACTTTGAGGTAAAGCTATTGATAGGTTATTCACAGGTGGTGTAAGTGGCGATCACACAACACATTCTTTCTCAATGAGAGCCCTGATTCTGGCAAGATAAATTGGGATCTATAGTAGTTGTGTCAGGTCCACTAAAGGAAAACCCAAAAAACAACAACAAGCCAAAAATACCCACTACCCCACCCAAAACCTGAAAAACAACTGGAAAAAAACCCAGACAGAAAAAAAGAGACCATAAGCCGTAAAGAAGGAAAAAGAAACCCATTCCAGTGGATTTTTACCGGTCTGTCATGCCAGCTGTCAGCAAGTGTGCCTTGAAGACTTAACTCCTTGATGGTCAGTGGAGGTTTCACTGCACCCTTAGGTACAGTGCTGGGCAGTTTTGCTCAAGGGGCTTGGGATCCATGGTGCATTTGGGGCAGATTGGCAGCAGTCCAGCAGAAGCTAGCGTATTGGAGTCAGTAAAGCGAGTAACCAAATGTCCCCTGGCACACAGCTACCCACCATGCTCTGCAGCAGCCAGACAATTATTTCTGTCTTCCAGGGGGCCCTGACCCAACTTTCCTTCCCTTCTCTTCATGCAGTGATATCTCCATCGCCTAAGTTTGAGTTCCTAGCCCCAGTTTTAAGAGTAGTGTCATATATCCTTACTCATGTCAGAAGTCATCATTGCATGAGTTGTAAAACCTCATTTAGTTGGTGCTTGACTTTTCACATTAAAAAATTAGTACCTAAATTTATGCTTTGAGGGCCATGCTATAGATAAATCAAAATTTCTTCTTTACATGATTAAAAAGATGGCAAAAGGATTGAGCTGAGGGCACAATCTGAATGCCTGCAGTGGAAATGCATCTTTGATTATATTTTCTTAAATAAGCTTAAAACAAAACTCTTTAAATCACCCCCTATAATTTTTTCCTCTCAGAGCATACTCATTTCACGTAAGTGCAGACGGTCAGATGCAGCCAGTTCCTTTCCCTCCTGACGCCCTCATCGGTCCAGGAATCCCTCGCCATGCTCGTCAGATCAACACTCTGAACCACGGGGAAGTCGTGTGTGCAGTTACCATCAGCAACCCCACGAGACACGTGTACACGGGTGGGAAGGGGTGCGTCAAAGTCTGGGACATAAGCCAGCCTGGCAACAAGAGCCCTGTCTCTCAGCTGGACTGCCTGGTAGGTGAACAGCAGCATGCGACAAGAAAGGAGATAGGAGGTTGTGTTAAGTTTGTAATGATACTGTTCAGGTCCAGAAAAATGGGTATTTGGGTGTTGTCATGGTATCAAAGGTTGGTATTGCATTTGTAATTTTGTTGTTTCTTTTAGAACTACAATTGAAGTATGTTACTTGCCATACTTGTGGGTTTTTTCCCTCAGTGAATCAAAACATTTTTAATATCCTAAAATTGTATTGGTAGGAGGAAAGATCAAAGACAGCACAGCAAATATTGTTTATAAACTTTGACATTTGTTGGCAATCTTAAGGCTTGATATCCTACCATGCTAAAAATTGCTGTCTTGCAGCTGTGTCACGTATTTTGTGTCTGTGTATGTGAATGCATTGCCCTGTTTTAATGTGACAATTAAAAATATCCTTGAGTGTTATTCACAAATTATTTGAATGTGCTAACAAGATGAACCATTGTTAGCAGCTTTTGTCTTGTCATTTGCCAGTTCTTGATAAGATGTTGCTGCTTGTTACAGAGGCAGTAAAATGAGAACTGTGCAGCACATGTAGACTTATAATGAATTACTCCACAAGTTGCTACACGAGTGAAGAAAATTGCCCAAATATTTTCCTCTGACATCTCCTAGATGGTGGCAACAAGTCTCACTAGAACAGGAAGAGGGGGGAGTGTGCAGGGAATTTGGTGCTCCCCCATGCCGAGAGGTTAATGTGCTGAAATAAACAGAGTATGAAAATGTAACTTTCTACACCAGCTGTCAAATACAGCTACGTTGAATTATTTTGGGCTGGGTTCAGGTCTTTGCATTTTGATGCTAATTAAGATTAAATATCTCTCACTACTGAATTTTGTAGATCAAGTTGAAGTACTTCCCTAATGTCATGTAATTTTCTGGCATTAATACACTTTATCATTGTCATAAGTATAAATGGCTCATTAAAACCAGGAGGGAATACAATACTTTTATGGATTTCTGCTCTCATGTTAATGCTGTTTTCTTTCCTCGTGAGTAATCTCTTGATGGCTTCTGTCTCCACAGAACAGAGACAACTACATCCGTTCCTGTAGATTGCTCCCTGACGGCCGCACCCTGATTGTTGGCGGGGAAGCCAGCACGTTATCCATTTGGGACCTGGCAGCTCCAACTCCTCGCATCAAAGCAGAGCTGACATCTTCTGCTCCTGCTTGCTATGCCCTAGCTATCAGCCCTGATTCCAAGGTCTGCTTCTCTTGCTGTAGTGATGGGAACATTGCAGTGTGGGATCTACATAACCAGACTTTAGTAAGGTAGGTTCTACAGAAGTGAATCATCAGGTTGTGAAGAACTAATTAGACACTGTCTTATGTGCAATTTTACATACATATGCCATTTCCTCCATGAATAGATGCTTCCAGTATTTCGTTGTTTGGTAGTAGCCATGGTAATACCTTGACAAAAGTCTATCTAATTGTTTCTAGGTTTCAAGAGTTTCATAATTCCAGACCTGTCGAGCAGCCCGTAACTATAATACCCTACTATCAGCTGATGTTGACACTGCTGTAGATTCTTTGAACAGATGGTTTTCTTGTTTCCATGCAATACACAGTGCTCTCACTCTCATCTCTTTAATCAGAATTCCAGCAAATATGTCTTGGGTAAAGATGTATGTAAATTGCTGCATCGCAAACTTAACCTCTTAGAAGTATGGGTTGCTGGTCCAACACCGATGTACAGTAAGCTAGGAGCCAGTCATGTAGAGCTTCTCTGTATACTGCACTGTGTGTATGTTGTTGTATGTAATCTATCCGTGTTTCTTGTAAAGTCAGGTTCTTACTTCCTGATGTTCCCATTTAGACTGATCTTTCTTTTTTTTTTGAACTTTGGTGGCCTGCAGATTCTTAAAGTAAGGTAATTTTGCTGATCATGGTACATTTCTTTTGGGGGTGAATGGGTATTTTAAATAGAATAGTGAGTATCACACAGTCAACCACAAATATTCCAGAGTACCTGACTATTAAAGAGTCTTTTCAAATTAGTACTTGGCTGTCTGGTCTGACTGCTTCATCAATTCATGACAGAGCTCACCTGGTTGCCCCAGAGTTTATATTTATCTGGATTTACTCTTGGAATCTATGTTACTGTTTTCTTTCATGGCTGCATGTCAGAGACTGAAAGAAAAAAGGAGTTATTTTGTATACTTGCTCAGAACTGACTATTTCCAGTGTGCAAACACTTGCTCAGAATGGACTGAGTTTGAGAACATGCTTATCTTCTTTCAATATTTTCAGGCAATTTCAGGGCCATACAGATGGAGCGAGCTGTATTGACATTTCTAATGATGGCACCAAACTATGGACGGGAGGCTTGGACAATACAGTCAGATCCTGGGATCTCAGAGAAGGGAGACAACTACAGCAACATGACTTCACGTCACAGGTTAAATGTCAAAAGCTTTGTCATGTAAAGAGAAGTGTGTCATGGTTTTTTAAAACAAACACTTCTCTTTTTGGTTGGGGTTGGGGGGATTTTAAGCAAAAAAAGCAGACTCAAAGAGAACTCCACTTAGTCTCTTTTTTTTCCTTTTTTTTTTCTATTTTTTAATGGGGCAGCTAAATATCTTTGTGGATTATGTCTATTTGACAGATTAGTACTTCTCCCATAAGAGTAATGGAGAATCTTTCTTATAAAACAAGTGCCAGACTAAAGTGTTCCTGTGTGCAATCCATTCCCATTTTTGTAGATTAAGGTTCAAAAATATTTTAGAAAATATTTTTAAATGCTGTCAGATAAGATCGGACATTAACTTTTATAGCTTGATTCAGTGCTTCACTACTGCAGTTTTAATAGCATTTAATAGCATAGTTTTACAGCTGTGTTTGCATGAACTACTTTATCTTGATTACTGTAGTAATTGGATTATCATGTCTTTAAAATTGTAGTAGACCAAAAATGTGGTTTTGCATAGTGTTAAAAATGTAGCAAGGGTCGATTTTGAGTATCTCAAGCTCATTCTTTTACTGATTGAAGCATGTGCTGTGCTAATTACAGATCTTCTCACTGGGCTATTGTCCAACTGGTGAGTGGTTGGCAGTAGGAATGGAAAACAGCAATGTTGAGGTACTGCATGTTACTAAGCCAGACAAGTATCAGCTGCATCTTCATGAGAGCTGTGTGTTGTCACTCAAATTTGCCCACTGTGGTAAGAAAGTCTTTCTATATCAGTGTTTTCCTTCCTGATAAATTAATTGAAGATTGCCTTTAAATGAAAGTGGGGGTATAGTAAAAGATGAGGTGTTGAATTTAAGGGCTAAAGTTATTTAAAAAACTTGTGGCTGCTTTTCTGTGTGAACTGCATAATATGTGTTTGAACATCATTGTGCAGCCAGATGAAAATGTTGCTGGTTTTGGATATGTGTGAATACATTGGTTTTTATGATTAATCTGTTTTTGAGGTGTATTTCTTGAAAACAAAATGCAACAATAACATTTAAACAATCTGTTACAGGCAAATGGTTTGTAAGCACTGGAAAAGATAATCTTCTTAATGCCTGGAGAACACCTTATGGAGCCAGTATATTCCAGGTAATAATCTCCTAAAAGCTATTTTCCACATACATTACCGTGCAGTAGAGCTGCTCATCTCAGGGTCTGTCATTAGCTTAAGGAGTTTCCAAATTGAAATGCAGCTAATTACTATGTTCCTTTAAGAGATTTTTTTGTAATTAGAGAAAGATATGCTTTTGTCATTTCTAATATTTCAGTAATTCAGCTCTTACAGTAAAGTAGCCCTTTATCCAAAGTTGTTTTTAATGCCCTTCTTTCTTACCTTCTTGTATGTACTGCTGTAACACAGTACTCATGTCAGGTTGTCAGGTGAACATTCACTGAAGGTCCAAAACGTAGCTAAACAGTGGAAGTCATATTGAACATGTGTATTTTTCTTGGATGGGGTGTGTTGATGGATTGAACAGGGAGACTGCTGAACTGAAAATCCATATGGAGGAGCCTCATGAAGTGTGACTGGAAGTTGTAACCTATATATAGTCTTTAATCCCTCTATGTCCAGGTTTTATGGCATTTCAGTGCTGTTAGAGAAGAGTGGGATTTTTGGCATGTCCTTCTGTTGTTTCACCTGCAGGTACCTAGCCTTGGAAGTTTTTGATTAAATTTAACTGTATAACTGGTTATGGCTTAAATGGTTTAAGTGGTCAGGTCTCACATGTACTGGTGTCTGCCATGTGTCTACCTTTGGGGACAGCACAGTTTGCCTTGACATAAGAAAACTAAGGTCATGTTTTCTTAATGGAAACTACTCAGGTCTTGAACCACCTCCCTCAGAAAGCCCAAATCATGCTAACAAGATCACATCTCACTTGAAAGTGGTGTTAAAAGCCCCAGAGCAGCTTTCTGAGTAGGGGTAGATAAGGACACTTCCTGTGCAATGCCGCAGAGGTGTCTTGTCTGAAACATAGCATGATTGGGAAGTCTTGCAGTGACAGGCAAATAAGAGTGTGGACATATGTTATATAAAGAAAGCATGCACTAAAATAGCATAATAAATGTGACAATGCATACAGATCATTTTAGAACAGACAGAAAAGCCAGGAGAGACAGAGCTACTGTGACCTGGTGTATCCTGTGTCCTATCCACCTTGCACACTTGCTGTGTATCCTGTTCCACTAGTGTCCTTCCCTATTTGCATCCTCCCTGAAAATGTAAATTTCTTTGTGCTAAACCTTTGTCTTCTGCGTTGGGGAAATACCAAGAAGAGATACAATGGCTTCTGTGGAATCTCTTTATTTCATACCTGTGAGTGGGTAGGACTTTGTAGTGCTTCTCCATGTGGACTTCTGAGGGAAGAAGATGGCTTTTCATTCAATTTTATGCAAAGGCTAACATACAAAATATTAATAAATGCTCATTCCTTGAAAAGTATATAGAAAGGACTACTTCTGTTTGTTTGATTGATAGATTATCTCTAAATCTATAACATTCACTTGCCTTTCCACTGCTAGGTTGTTCCAAATGTGGAACAAATTTGGAGATAAGTTTTGCAGCAAAAGTTGCCACTGCTGTACTGATACTTAAATGACTTTTTGGTATATTCCCTGTGTATGAATTCTTCCAATTAATCTTCAAGCCTTTCAGGATTGAAGGATTAGAAAGACATAATTTTCTTTTGTTTTTCTTTTTTTCCTTCCTTTTCTTGTAGTCCAAAGAATCCTCATCTGTGCTTAGCTGTGATATCTCTGTGGATGACAAATACATTGTCACTGGCTCTGGGGACAAGAAAGCTACAGTCTATGAAGTTATTTATTAGAGACAAATCTGAATGCGGACAGAACTCCTTCTCCTAGCACTTTGCTGTATATTCCTTTTTTTTTTTCCTTTCTAAATTGAAAACTTAAATGCTCATCACAGTTGTGGAATTTATTTTTACCTTCTTAACTTGCTATTGATTTGTGAATGCTCATTAAGAACTTGTGATACCGAATTGTCAGATATCTACTTGGAAGAAGGTGGAATAAGCATACTTAACAGTGAACTTGACTCTTTAATTATGTATTATAGCTGTAATGTATTTATTTTGTTTAAAGAAGGCTTTCTAACAATGAACTGACTAAATAAAGCTGTCTGGCCCGGCTTTAGTTTGAAAGATGCATTGTATACTTGTGTTTTTGCAGGTAAATAAATTGGGGATCTCGGAGAAGGATGTTCAGGAGATAGTTAAAATTACACTAAATAGACTTGTAGTTTCTATTTAAAAAATAAACTTTGTTATATTTTTTAGTCCTGTCCTTGGATGAGACCTCTAAGTGTTATTACAGTATAATTATTTGGTGGGAAGATGCTGTATCTTAACTATTTTAGACAGTCTTGGAAACTTAGGAAATTGCAAACTGTAGCCAGTGATCTACATGCCTGTGATGAATGGCAAATTCAGTTCACATCTAAATTAAATTCACTTTAAGTAAGAATGTGCTAATTTATATATTTGCAATGTTAATATAGCATCTTGTGTACAGATTTGTTCTCAATGCTTTTCTGTTGATAAACATAAAGCATTTTGGTGTCAACCTAGGTTTTATAATATAAACACCTCTCTTTGTTATATTGTAGAGAGTACAATAAGTTGCCTCAAAGAGTCACCTTTGTTACTTCTGGAAACTTTTGCAACGTTTCCTTGAAAATGGGGATATGTGTCTTTGGGCAATTTTTCAATTACAAGAGATTATGAAAAATATTTGATATGTTCTTTGGAAACTGCACTGAAATAAGAACGGATGCCTACCAATATACAAACTACAAAAGCAATGACCTCCAAGGTAGGATTTACAAGAGTACTCATTCCGACATAAAAAAAGGAATGGATTCTCACTGGGATAAGGACTTGCTTTGTTCGCCAGCAGTTCAATCCAAGTCTTGATTGGATGTCCCTAAAATGGACGCAGACTGAGCCATTGTGCCAGAGACAACGTGTTATCTTTTTATGTTGTTGTTGTTGCTGTTAAACTATGATCTGTGACTTTTTTTTTGAATGCTTTAAAAAAAAATCTTTAAGTCTGTGGATCTGCTGATGTACAGTGCCTTTGCTGCTATGGATCAAAATCAAAAGACCCGTGTAGATAAATCTTATTGTATAAGTAGAAAATTACTTAATTTCATACTAGAAATGGATTGATGCTGCAAGTTAAAATGGACTGTTCATTGAAGTTCCAAATGTGGTAGCAAAAAATGGTGTCTTAAGTGCTTAGTGTTTGATGTCATTAACAGTTTCGTAATACTCTACATTGTAGAAAGATTTTGATACTAAACTGTGTCATTGTACATAGTTCTAATGCATTGTATTGACCACCAGTACTTCTATAATGGTAGATTATTGTTTGTGCATTCAGACTTTTAAGCATTAAACATAAGTGACTTCTAAGATGCATTTTTTGTTATTTTTATTTTCCCCTCCATCATTCTTAGTGTGTGTGATAATGTGAGTCATGTGTGCTGAGTGCTGTCTGTAAGGGCAACAGCCATTCACTCACAGAGCATGCCACTACAGATACTTTGCGGTTTTGTCACTGAGAGACAATGTAGAGTTTCACATTTATCAGAGCTAGTGAAATCACTGAAATGATAGTTTCCCAAGTTAACTGACTGCAGTGATTCTGAACTCTTGGAGGCATCAGCCACAAGACTTCAGCTGTGTCACCTGGGAGTTTGCCATATCCAATTTTTGTAGTTTCCCATCTGATATAAAGCTTTATTTTATCCCATGCCTTGGAGAGAGTGAAATTGGGGACCATTTCTGCTCACATGCC